TTGTTGACTCTAGGGCCGAGGCCTTGTCTGGACACTGTTTACCTGATGTTGGGTCAGTATGCTGTTTTTCGTATATATGTGGTACAAAATATCATATTTGTGATAGACTTTTATGTGTGTAGATATACGGTCAGGAGGTATGTGGTCAAGAAGCCTTTTGACCTTGTTAGCGTCCACTTCAATGTTTGAAGGTTGGATTAAGTATGCTTTCAGTGTCGAGTTATTTCATGCCTGGTTAGGTTTTCATGCTGCCCGTCAACTCGTATGTGACCTCGATTGGCTGACAGTGTGTACTGATGTTTACTATGAAGTCAAATGTAATCAATACCTAGTTATAGATATAAAACAGCTGAGCGTTCTGTGGGATACATCGTGACGTCAAGTGGGGGTTTGAAGATGTCACCAATGAAATTTGTAACCTGGAGGTGAAAGTGCCCCCTTGTTTAAAATGTATTTTAGGTGGCGTTGGGAAACAATTATATCAATTGCTCTTCAGCCCACACATTCCATTTTCACTAACAAACTTGTCTTTTTTCGGGAAACGCTAACTATCCCCATAACGCCTATTTGGCTTCTGAGCCAAACACCATTGCCCTGTTTGGAAACACTATAGTCCCGTTTCACAGTTTAGATAGAAACAAATACTCCGGTATGAGGGCGGAATGCAGATACGTATTAGTGTGATGATGATGATGGTGGTGGTGATGATGATGATGATGATGAGTGAGTGAGTGAGTGAGTGAGTGAGTTAGTGAGTTCAGTTTTACGCTGCACTCAGCAATATTCCAGCTATATGGCGGTGGTCTGTAAATAATCGAGTCTGGACCATACAATCCAGGGATCAACAGCATGAGCATCGATCTACGCAATTGGGAACCGATGACATGTGTCAACCAAGTCAGCGAGCCTGACTACCCGATCCCGTTAGTCGCTTCTTACGACAAGCATGGGTTACTGAAGGCACATTCTAACCCGGACCTTCAAGTGATGATGATGATGATGATGATGATGATGATGATGATGATGATGATGTGATAAACTGTTGATTCTGTATTATGATGACGAGGACTATTCTTCTGTCACTACGCGATACAGCAGTGCACCTTAAAAGGCTAATCTGTATGTGTCATGGGGGCGGTGGGGTAGCCTAATGGTTAAAGCGTTGGCTCGTCACGCCGAAGACCCGGGTTCGAATCCCCACATGGGCACAATGTGTGAAGCCCATTTCTGGTGTCCCCCCGCCGTGATGTTGCTGGAATATTGCTAAAAGCGGCGTAAAACCAAACTCAGTCAGTCAGTCAGTATGTGTCATGGGGCGGACAATAATGAATTATTTAGGAACAGTGTATGGCAACAAAATAAACATGTTATGTTAACGGTAACAACGTGTGTTGGTGAGCGATGAACTTGTAGGCATGCCATAACAATATATCATACCACAACGTAACATTATGTCACAATCTTTGACCGTACCTGTCACGTAGATTGCTGTTACTGAGTCTCTCTACAAACCGCGTGCAATAATATATTTCAGCCGGTATCCATTCTGTCTCTCTCTATAAGTACCCGTCTCCCGCACCCTCCCGACCTAAGTCCGGTGACGGTCAAGTCAACATTTACTATGAGAGGCAGTATTTATAGCATAAATATGTCTTTTGAGAAGCAGAATCCATCTCTTCTAAATAGCCTCAGTCAATGATATCTTGAAAGCAATTACTCGAGATAGCGTACTATGCTGTACCAATGCTGTAACAGAGAAGGCTCAATATTGAATTATATGTCAGTATCACGGTTCAATTAGTAAAGTATGTTATTGAAGCTGGATCATGTCAAAGCATGACACACACATTGAGCTATATCGAAATACTTGTCGCTGGTTACGTTCGTATCTTGGATGGGAGCGGTAACATGATTAGTGCAGTACAATGTCTATGTTTTAAATAAGATACTGAGTTTTGACGAAGGGCTGTGTTTCAACGTATTGTGAATATGGTTCAGTCTTTTCAATATTAATCCATGATCTATGATAAATGGTTGGTTAGGAATTCGAAACCTTGCGTTCGTCTTCGTAAACATGGAGGAATAATGTGTCTATTAATTCACTGTTTTAATCAGTGGACATAGACAAGATAGTGAGTGAGTGAGTTAAAATTGTAAGTCATATCGGCAGTATTTCAGCCATATTGTGACTATATCAAGTTATTAAAACATGTCAGCGAAGGACAGTAACACAACAAGTTTATCACAGATGTAGATTTAAAAACTAGTAATTAAATTTGAAATAGTTTAACTGTGCAAGACGATACAATATATACAGGCTATAGACTACCAACAACTGAAGGTAGATCACGATACTAGGGATCATGGGGACTTACAGTACCACTGACAAGATAAATTCTGATGGGTGGAACATATATCATGAAGTGTATGCACAGTGTTTATGCAATGTCACATTAATTCACTTACACAATTCACAGGTGTTATGGACTAAGTCAGTTCATTAAGATAAACCCCATTTAATTATCATTTTAGCATTTTCATTGTAAGTCATTTTCACAAACTAAATGATGAGGTGACTTATACTTTTTGGATGATAAGAAGTGGGGTCTGAGTCCTCTCTCTAAGCGCGGTGATTGTGTTCATATCGCTTTCGGATCATAATATGCAGGCGCTGTTGGAGATAGAATTTGGAATGCTGGCTTTAGAACTACTGTTGCAGGGGTCTTGGTTTAAAAGCGGGATTATATATGTATCTATCTAATAGTATCTTTTTTCATCACGTGTTCTTTTAAGAAGTCGTATACACGAGTGGAGAAATCGCTGAGGGTATATTTTATATGATGTCATTTTTATGTTAAGTCAACTTTCAAATATTAATTTTAAACACAATTCAAATCGGGATGACATTTGTATTTTAAAAGCTGGTTCCATTAATCAACTCTGGATTACATAAAAAATCATTTTCCCCTTTTCCCCCTTGAGGTTCATTTTTGGATGCATGAGTGACCAATATGACATCTGATTTCAGTTCTTTAACTGACTTGAAACATATGTTCCTGTGTTTGTTAATTCGACGCTAACCATGCCTTTTCGTGTGTTTGTGACCGGTGTCAGCGTAGTGGCAGGGTATGCTCACAGTTTCTTGAACATCTAATGTTATATCGTCATGCTGAAGACCCGGGTTCGATTCCCCATTGGACACAATGTGTGAAGCCCATTTCTGGTGTCTCCCGCCGTAATATTGCTGGAATATTACTAAAGTGGCGTAAAACTAAACTCACTCACTCACTCTGATGTTATGACATTTTGAAAGTGAGTCATAACTATGCTTTATGATACAGTCGAAATCCTATAGTTGATTAATAACATAGAGACTGTTTAGTGGCTGTTATTTGAGAGTTTGGGGCACACTAAGACATAACCTGTATACTTAGAAGTGTACTTATACTTTTGGTCAGGGTGATAGGTCATTAAAGTACAGTATTATATCAGACTCCCAATTTGTACGTACAGCTGCACCGGTCCACACATTGTGCTCAGGGACTGGTGTGAATTAAATGCCAATGTCCAGATCAAGCAAAGACAAGCGAAGGCCACAGTTCAGCTATTATGGCATTTCAAATAAAGTAGGAAGCTTTAACATGGGATCTCTCATGCTGACCCTCGGTCGTTACCAGACATTGATTGACAGAAAGTTACAAGGGAAACGGTCTCTTAATCCACTGTAAGTCCTGAAACATTCGCGGAGAGACTCGACTTTCCATTGGAGACGTTCGTTTAACAAACTGGGTTTGACTATTAGTGATCGCATGTAATTTGGGCACAGAGCGTGGGTGGAATTAATTGACTTACAAGCTGTTGCTATTTTCTGCTCATTATCACAAACATGTTGTAGCGATACGATTGTCGGGTCATCATGACGACCTTGATATCTATATCCACGGCGTGACATGACGGTGACGTAATTCCTTTTGAGAAACATTTGTTTGACGTTAGATTGCCCGACGATAACGTATTTTAACGAGAGCATACGTTCGTTGTCTTTCGTCTTAATTCTGAATCTAACTTGATGACTCTCTTCGAAGTTATTTGCACGAAGATATTTACATCGTATCTTTTATAATAACGGAACAAAATTGTCTTTTTTAATATTTTAAATCTGATTTGGCCTTTCCTATTCAAATACGTGTTTCCCTTTTAACAAATGTCAACTAGGGTTTTTTAACCTTGCTATAAGATTATAAACGTCTAGTAAGGAGTATCTCGAAGATTTCTTAATAGCGTTTGTGGCTAACGACGACCTTGATCCCATGTTAATATTCCCCAATGGGTGTGTTTGGTCGGGACACATGGTGAGCGGGTGGTATGTTGAAAAAGATGTCCAATGGCATCCTTTCTTTGAAAAAATGAATAAAAAAATAATTACATGCTTCAAGCTGAAGGAAGTGATATTACAAAGTCAGAATTGAATTGAACTACACAAGCGTAGTGATGAAAATGAGAAAACGAGGGGAGATAACTCTAAGTATCCTAATTCGATAAGAAATGTTAATAACTTGAATACGCGCTCACCACGCCGAGGGCCCCTCTTGAAAGAGGTTGTCGTATACTTGGTAGTAATATAAGAACGTAAGTGTCACATTAGTTTGAAAATATGATTGTTGGCGTCATAATACACATTTACACTGTTAAGTAAAGGGACAAAACATTTCGTATAATGGCGCGTCTCTGCTGGTCTTTACGAGAACAAAAACACGCTGGTTAAACACTATCTCTTTGCCTGTCATTTTGATATGAAAGTTATTTGTTGCGTCAGTGAGGTCATCCACCCATGACCACCAACATTACACACACAGAGAAAACCGCACAGTAGTAACAATTGCGCCAGAACGCAGAATTCAAACCCCTCCGCCCCAGTGAGTGCTCTGGTATGTTAGCAATTCTCAACCATAAGATGTCGCATAGTGGCTTTGCGTTCTCGAACACAGACATTCATACAATTAACATGACAATGGGTGATCCTCGTCTTATCACTGGAGACAAGATTCGCAATACATACACGATAATGCAGACTTTTATAGACTGCGAGCTATGATAGACATTTTGCGGAGTTGAAAGTCAACGAGAGTCGTGTATGGAAGTGGGTAGTTATATAACGTGGAATTAACGCAAGGAGATTGATACGTTGGGACAGACGCATGGAGAAAAGTTTACAAGGATATAAATCTACATGTATACTGAAACAGACATTGGGTGTGGCTTGCTAACAGAGCTGTCCTGATTGCAAACCTTGGTTACCGTATGGGCGGTTTTTCCGAATTATCCTAATGGCGAAGGACCGGGTGGTCAAAGCAGTCTCCATCCCGACATCTGGACTCAATATGTAATTTAAAATGGGTAAGAGCACCCCGGGTACTTGTGGGAGTTTCCAAGCCTTGAATCCATACCCAGTGGGCCTCATCCTAAGCGGAATGGTGGATTTCAGCAACAGTAAATGGAGCAGAACTGACACTATAGGATGATACCTTGTGCCGCTCACGGTCCCTCTACTAAGTCGCACCCCGATTTATACACTGTGGTGTGGATAAGGGAAGTCAGTAGACAGGCTGAGACGATACGCTAAGACAGCACACAGAGCAACGGCCCGAGTTTACCTGGGATTTTTGAATGCAACTTGTGAACGGAGTACCTTCCGAGTGGATTGCATGTGACAGGTGTCTTGTGATGGATTTCATGTTATGTCAATCACCTGGATGTATTATCTTGTTCATTTCATGGATTTATTTGCCGGTTGAGAAATTACTACCGCTGTCACTGACGACAGGGGGATAGCATGCGGGGTACACAGATTTCATTAACGTTGTCGAGTGGGGATTATACGATTGTTTCAAGTGGATTTTAAATGTGTTCCGTGAAGAATAAGGTATGTTTTCGTTTCTGTGTATATTTCTGTCAATTTCATGTCAAGAATATGACAAGTGACATATCCCGTCACGTTGTTTTTCGAGTGTGCGGTTTTATGATGTAAGCTGTGCAGATAGCTGGAGAATTTACATAAATTACCAAGACACTGTTGTCAGTATTCTCAAAGATCATTTGTCATGTATTTTCCATAAATTTGATTGACATGTGTTTGTAAGTAATAGACATCCTACGGTATGTAGTGGTGTATCTCACATGATTTCTGAGGTTAAAAATAGACCTTGTTTACAAATATGTAACATTATGTCAGCATTATATTTACATACATTTGAAAAACAATCCGTAGAGAGTATATAATTATAGACTCTTTGAACTCAAACCTGTTCATGGAAATTCGGTGGTTATTTGATAAGGTATTGACATCTGCTAATTTACGCTGGAGTGTTTAAAAACGTCGTTGTGGATCGCCCACGCCTCCTTAACAAACACGGGAATAGGAGAATAGCTATCCGGGGTATTCGCCATAAACCACACTGAGAATAATCCGATATGCCGAATACCATTGGGTTTTAAAAAAAGTAAAGTATGATTTTCAACTGTTGCCGAATAGACAAATATTTTAGGAAGGGATCCTCACGGAATGAAAATTTGACTGCTAAGTCAAGACATGCCTGTCGAGACGGCTGAGACGAGTATAAAGTTGAACTGTACATATCAACGCAATGGACATGATTCAACCCTGACAGTTTGGCACGTGAGCGGTATTCCACGTGCTGTGCATTAAAGCGACCCAAGCGTTCACACGTTGCTTAACGAGTTGATTTGAGATCAATCAGTTGACTGATTGTCTTGGCATTGTTCATTAAGTGTCCCCAGATTCCCGTCACTTGACATAGTGTTGTTTTAGTGAGGGGTATTAGTAATGAGGCTGATCGTCACATCATTAGTGCTGTTTGTTACTAGCTAAGTAATTACACCAAGACTGGTACATATACTCGTCTCGATAATGGAAGTGCAAAGTTTGTCAAGATCTGTTCCTCTGTGCTGCCTTCAGGTTAGTTTTTTATCTGTAATTCCGCTCGTGCATACTGTTTGAACACAGACCAAGTTGAGTAGCATTATAATATTATGTGAAATTTGAGCAGAATGCAAAACCTTCTAAGTTCACGGACGCTTTGAATGATACACGCATGATGCAGTTTGTACCTAACACCAAATCAACAGAATGACCTTGGGACGAAAAGTATTTTAATCCAGCTAACATATAAACACGGAAAAGGGAAATACCACAAACAGACTATATTTGTTGTAAGTATAAACGCTAGGGATATAAAGTGCTTCATTTTACAATCGTGAACACATATCCATTGTGGTTGATGATTGGGATAAGACGCTTCATGCCAGAGCTGTATTCTACCCTTCGTTACGCAGCGCACGGGATCGGCGATCGCACTGTGTTGGGTCACACGCTCTTCGCCTCTGAAATACCTGCCCCTTTAAATCTGACGAGGCGACGATGTGGAAGTGTCTATTTTCGCTTAACTGCTTGTACTTTGGGATCAATCGTTGACGACATGGGTCGCATTTTCGTCATGGATAGTTGTCATCTTGCACATCAACGTTTATGTTGATCATTATGTTAAATTATATTCATGGCGGCGGGTATTTGGGGTGTTAGATGTAGTAACAGTGATATAAGAAAGCTGACGTATGGGGGTGGGTTTGAGGAGGTGCTTGCTAAATAATCATAGCATATTGACTCTGATAGGAGCGTACATGCTACGAGATGTTTTCTATATACTAACTTGTATAAAAAAACCTTGTATTGGAAATTTAGTTTATTTTGTCTTTAAATTACTGCGGATAAGTAAATAATGAAATGCATTACTGTTTTCCCGCTTAATCTTTTAATACATTTGATATTGTATGGTATATTGTCAGGAATATTCCAAATGGTTCCTTAAGTAGTATGTATGAATCTTGCATATTTGTACAAATGTTGATTTATTCTGCACGAATTATATACTCTCTATGTCAAGTTGATCACCAGTAAGCATGTATACTACGCAAAACAGACATATATGTTAACTATATAACTCGATAACTATCTAAAAGCACCATTTAGTCACAGTTAATGAGAATAATGAAATTGGATCATTTAAAGCTCAAAATGAGCCGCTCAGAAGTAGGTTGTACAACCGACAAACATCACCAGCTAAGAGTTAGCGAAGCGCCGTAAAAGCGTTATTAATAGTCCAAGAAGTAGCTCAGAAACGTTATACAATAAAGAAGAAGTTGCCATCCATATACTCGTCTTATATATTCACCAACTTCTAAATGCCTCTCAAGAATCTAATAGTCCAACATTGACACACTATTCGTCTCATTCGACCTGTAAGAGACTGTTCAATTCAGTCATTATGTTTGTCTTGGAATAGTAATCAACATTGGCGGTGGGGTAGCCTAGTGCTAAAAGCGGTGGCTCGTCACGCCGAAGACCCGGGTTCGAATCCCCACATGGGTACAATGTGTGAAGCCCATTTCTGGTGTCCCCCGCCGTGATGTTGCTGGAATATTGCTAAAAGCGGCGTAAAACCAAACTCAGTCAGTCAGTCAGTAATCAACATTAAGGATGTACATTTGATACTCCAGAAACTACCTTTGTTTATAATTCGTTTTCCAACCCACCCACTCTTTCAGAAAATGTGTCAGGTTTTACACAAGGTATATCGAGACATAAACATTTGTTGTTTCACAAATGAAATAACCGAAACAAAGATTGATTGAATTTAGAAAAATCGTTTAACTTTCTCATCGATTATCCATGTTAGACCAGTTCTGAAGTCAGAGTGACATTTCAATATTCATAATTTCAAATAAATCACAACGTATCTTATCAATGTATCTTATTACATATTGTGAGCAATGTCCCCCCACACAGCAGTATTATCGACAACATATGAATGTATTAAATGAGAGCGTATTTCAATCAGTCATCGATATTTCGCAATCGATTCCCACCAGGTACACAACTTCATGGATATAAACTCTGTTGTTATGTTTTTCCGTTCCTACCCCCATTTTACCATTTCAGTAAAGGTCGGTCACAATACAGTAATTTGCTTTTCATATCGACGTGATGGATAGAAATTACAATATCAATATGTTAAATCGTTCCCTACTGACGAGGTTGATCTACCGAATTAAGCCATTGCGTTACTTCTTCGTAGAGTAAGATTTCTTCGATCGCTGCCGATTTTGTCTGTAAATTGTCTCACTTATGATACTGAACTCTACTCTCAACTCCAAATCCTTGCCTAATAGTGTTATTTGTCGATCAGCTATCAATTGCTTAGCCGAATGTCATTAATGCGATCAAACCGTTTGCTCTATTACGAACTGAGCTATTTATGTTTCGAAATGTCTGATGTAATTTCAAGGGTACCTATATCTGAGGACAGGCCTCTGACAATAGTCAGTTATATTATATGATAGGGTTAAACTACCCTTTCCACTTCTCTACCGCGCCGTATCAACACCGCGACTGATAATAATTCGGGTTTAGAAATCCGACCAGTAATGTACTTCGTTAAGGTGTAGTCTACATCATTTACAGTCAAATCCATGACCATCGGTGCACATTGGTCCAATAGCGTTCTGCGGTTGTCCGAACATTTCAATTTAACACATGCCAGAAGCTGGGCGAATTCACCACCCCGTCTATATATAATAAGTTGATTTGGACATGAAGTAAATTAATTTACTGCACAGTGTCTAGCAGGCTTAGTTTAGTAGTGGGACCAGAAAGGTTCGATCACGTACTGGTTACATTAACACGGCAACGAACATACGCAACACTCCCACACGTCAAAACTGATGGAATCTATTCCTTTTACAGTGATCGGGGCACTGCCATACTTCACCACGAGCACGTGAGTGCAGAGTTGTGAAGCTCCTGCACTGGACACAACGTTCATCGCCGTTGGCACCAATCAAGAATCTTCTCAATCTGAAACACCAGGACTTTCTACTTGTTGTCCGAGGCAAACTTTCAGAGTAGACCAGCGAGTGTGACATTCTAGGGAACTTTCTGACTTATAACTGTTACCATGTTTTTTCCCTGATCGTGATTCGGGAATGGATTTTGCCGACACTGATGCTAGAAGACCACCTCACAAAACACCTTGTGTGTCTTCCTAACTGTCATGAGACGAAGCCCTGAGCCCACCTTCATTGGTTTACTGTCTCACATAATTCCTTCTACTTTTCCTCATGTCCAGTCTGCAAGGAAAGGCAACAGACCGCACGTTTCAAATCAGGTTTGTAAGTTTTCGTCATTGTGATTAGTGACATGAAGACTTTAAACTTGTGTTTGGCTTTATGACTTAAAGATTGAAAAACGTATATTTCTGAAATGTTTTCCAACAATATCACGAAATACTAAGCAAATAAGCAAAACGCCATTTCTATGCATTTGGTCCAGAAGAGTCACTTTTGTTAATGTGATATACCAGTATGTGTGTGATAAAAACATGTAATATACCAGTATGTGTGTGATAAAAACATGTAATACCACACTTTCTAAAACAACTGAACTCGGTACATTGCTTGGCACAAACTAAAGGTGATTCATTTCCTGAACGTTCAGTTAATTAACATTTCTAACAAAAGTCTCTACAATGTATATAGTTGTAAACATGTAAGACGCAAATGACCTTTCCTAAAGCCGGGTTTTCGTATATAAACTCGTGCTATCCATGTCCACGCGAATAAAAAACTGGTTTTATTTCTATCATAACGCTATTCCCCCTTCACTGAATCGTAAAGAAACAGCAACAGTATTTTTCTATTAAATTTTGGCCAAAATCTACCTCTGTATCAAACTGCAGTCATAGAATTCTTTTGAATGCATAAGAATGAATAGGAACAAATAATTCTTGAGAAGTAGAAGTGTCCAAAAGTTTCTGTACGTATAGCGAACCTTCCCTCCTCCCACAGCCCAACAAGTGGTCAGCATCGCTATAGTGTATTCCGATCAATAACGCCCGGGATATTTTTAGATATATCGTCAAACTTGTACAGTTTTGCTGTGCTCAGCAATCTGAGGCTGGCAATATCAAAAGCCTCGATCGGGACTTGAAAAGAAATTTGAAACACTGAGACTTTGAACAAGTTTTCTTGTATGTACGTCATTGTGGATTATGATAACCTTAGAATGGTCTTATGTCTGGTGTTCACAATGAGAGGACACTTTGAGAGCGCTGTTCACTTGTCTTAAATGTTGACTAGAAAGACTTTCTGTGACCGTTGCGTTAACTATGATCCCATGGGTAGGTACGTGTGTCTGTTGCTAGGGTTCAAAACGTCACCCTGGAATAATTTGTCAACATTTCAGGCTTCGAACCTCGGTGGTGTTGTGTCATATGTCTCCAATGCTTTCCACGAACGAATTTGTTTAATGTAGTTTTATATGCGTAAGATGCTAAGGCAATTTTTCATGACTACATTAAAGGTCCATTTGCAATGTTTGCTTATGTATGGTCAAGAAACATTGTGAATGAACTTGCAAACTGGTCAGGTAGAAAACCAAGGCTCTATGTCTGTACAACGTTCGGCTCATGAAGACTCTAGTGATGGGATTCACATAGGGTCGCTAACTAAATCCAATGTGTTCACAGCAGTCCTAGGTATTGTGAGACGTGGACAGTTTAAGCGTAGATATTATAATCGATTTCATCGCGGAATCAAATGAATACGGATATATCATTACACTGGCTGGTGATGGTTTGGAGTACGGAAGTGCCAAGAACCGTCAGGAACTGTACATGTATATCCCCTAGCCAGGAAATGTAACGTTATAATATGATTTGGCAACAACGGAAACGAATTGCTAACTATTAAGTAATAACTGATACACACGCTGTTTATTCGCACTGATTTCAATAATGAGAATATCAGTTTGAACATGTGGTGACATTTGAAGTTATCGCCCCTGATAGATATTCTTGGAGATTGTATTCCAAGTGCAGTTAATCGCCTATCAAGACAAACATCAGCGTTCTAAAACAGTGTAATATTTGATATAGTTTGGCTTATATCATTCAGAATAACCTTAGCATGTGGAGTATTGGCAGGAGGTGTGATAGGCACGAGGACAACGCATAGACACGTATGTGTCGCTGACAATGACGTTGCTAACACTCCCAGTGGTCAATGCCTATATAACAATATTGTTTCATTCGATTAACGTTCAATGTGAACACGAAGGATATGGAAAAGGTTTTTCTAACAAAGGTCCGGCACGTTAAATGTCAATGTTCTTTTGTTGTTATTGCAAACTGCTAAAATATTTCAGAATTTGTTGTTGCAATGGTTTATGAATCATCTGTGCATATTGTAGTTTTTACCGATGTTGTATTATGACATGGCCTTGACATTCTGTTTTTCTGTTCCAGGTTCGTCTTCCAGTAAAGAAGCGTCTTCTTTGTGCCATCGTGTTTCTTTTTCTCCTTGTGAGTTCGTGTGTTGCATACCCAAATCCTAGAATAGAAGCCCCTAAAGGGAAAACGCCCGGAGCTATGTACTATAGGACACCTTATTGCAGACCTTTAACAGATGAACAGCTTCAGAAGAGAATGGGCTCATCTTTTGATGGCTCGAGAATGGGCTCTGATTTAGAGTCTTTAAGACTTGCCAATAGTGCTGACAAAGTCCGGGAGGATGGTTATAGTGATGAAGAGGACTTAGATGAATTTCAAGGAGACGATCCATCTGCTGATATTGACGATGATGTGATTTATGGTGAGAATGAAGACGTTGACGAAGAGGATGAATATATTGAAAATAAACATGAGGATGCTAAGAAACCCAGCTATGAAGATAAAGCACAAGTGTTCAATTACATGAGACGCAAGAGAGGTGTATCGGACGATGAGTTGCCACATCGAGGTCCCCACTTGACAAAAAGGGGCTCGCTAAGCGATTTTGGTACACTTCATCTGAAACTAGCGCTTAGTGGTCGTAGAAACAAAGGACATAGATCTCATGACGCAAGGAGCAGAAAACAATTGAAGAAAGAACTCCGTGATAAAGTGAAAAAATCAAACAAAGACCCTCCATGGGAATGCAAAATGGACCATGAATATAAAAAGATGAAGGAAGGTATTTTCCCTCCTTACGTCACCGACGCAAAGTGTGTCACGGACAAATGCTTTTTTAGAATCTATAACTGTGTCCCTAAAAAATACAAGATTCGTTTATTGATGAGGGACCCGGATAGATGCAACCCTTTACCTCTTACAGGGACAACAAACACCACTTACGAGGAGAAGTGGTACTTCACATACCAGTTTGTAACTGTTGCGTGTAATTGTGAAAGAAGGAAAGCGAAGAAGCGGAAGCGACAATAGTGCATTATTAGTTCTACAGTCTTATCTCCAGTCGACAAACCCAACGTCATGGCTGCTGGGTGCTTGAGTTGAAAAACTGTTCTTTTTTGAGATAATGTAATTCAGCTACCCGTTGTAAATCTTATTTATACAATACATAAAATCGTTTCAAATTGTTTTTCCTGAATGTTTTCTTTCTTTGACATTGTATTGGAGAGATGCGACCGAAGAAGTTAGTGTCAGATGTATATGATATCATGAGATGTTGGTTGTTGGGTAGCCAAGTGGTTAAAGCGTTCGCTCGTCACGCCGAACACCCGGCTTCGATTCCCCACATGGGTACAATGTGTGAAACACATGTTGGTGGCCCCGCCGTGATATTGCTGGAATAATGTTGAGAAACGGCATAAAATTAAACCCATTCACTCTCCAAAGACGGCGACAAATAGATAAACACGTTTTCGGGTTGTTAAGGTGAACACAGTGATTCTTTGTTAAGGATTGACTTTGAAATAACAGTTCTACTGGGAGGCAATGTTTCTGTTCTGAAAATTCATAACCAACACTGTTGAATAATACCGTGTGTCCAAGATATATTTAATTCTGAGAAAAGAAATGGCATACATGGTCTGCATAAATGGTGCATACCAACAATACTCTTTCCGAACAAACCTATTTCTAAATCTAGCATCATGACACATTGCGTGAAGTTGCGTGATTGGATGCAGCGATACAGAATGTATATACTACTCACACTTTGCTAAGGATCATAAAAATTCGCAACTTTACTTAGATTTATAATTTGAAATTGTATCCATTTAAACCTGGATAAATAATGATATGGTAACACATCTTTAGGTAAACAGCCGCTTTAAGCGAACCGTATGCACGTGATACATGGGTAACCATAAAAATGGTTTTCATGGCACCAACCAACCATTTTGCAAATCATGGCACGGGTCACTGACAAGTACACAACGCCTGTAAACAGCAGGTAGGGGATCGACAAGATGCAGTGACATACTGAAAACTTGGATCCATGCTTACAATAGGCTTAGATATTTAAACCAAATTTGACCCCATATCATAGTTATATGTTGAATCAATGATTTGATCCTTAGCAAAGTGTGAATAGTATATTAGTCGGCAGGTGCACCCAACGTCATTGTCGAAGTGAAATTCGATTTGTGATCTGGACATAGATTCCAAATCTCTTCTTGTGATTCATGCAGAGGTACGTGGGCACAGGCATGATAATAGGAGACCAGATAAGAAGGATGCATTCAAATGAACGAGGGCTCGACAGTGGTAATGGTAGTGTCGTATGTTGGATTACGTGTCTGTTGTAATGATATCAGGTATGTTTGTATGGGTATGTTAATGGTCGAGTCATGTTGGTTGTACGCATCTGATATCAGGTATATTGGTACAAGATCAATGGGACGTTCCAATATGAGGTACGCCTGTCTGTTCCTAAGATATACTCATGGAAACAAATAAGGGAACGCATGAAAGTACAAGTGTTCCTTTATTCTTTTCCAGGTTTCTTCACAAGGTATGTATAACACTGTGAGTGAAATTCTGGAAATAGATATTAAACACTTGTATATTCCCTCGTTTCCATGAGTATACATACATACGCAGATGGGTGGCACAGGCATTCCAGTCGCCTTCGCACCGCAGTTCGCTCTGCGGAGCCCTGGACACGGAAGATATTTTTATCTGGGGTTCGAATCACGCTTCGAACTGATGATGGTTCCAAGTTATGGTAGCACCATACCCGAGCTCATGGGCTTCATCAAGCCAGTATCCTTATGAGACCCGCATCACTTATGACTTACGTCACACATTAGGCTGTCATGCAGTGACAATATCATGGAGTACCGTTCTAAACTGTGTTAAACCACCTTACTTACGTAATATATTTATTGGCACCGGGTACATGTGGTGTAATTTCATCGGTCATTCATTCACCTATGCTCTGTACCTAGGTGAATGAGTGAGTTTAGTTCACTCACTCACCCCGTGTTCATTTGCAACTGAGAGGGGGGGGGGGGGGTGGTCTGATTTTACAAAACGATTGTATCACCGTATTTTATAATTTAGCTTTTACATATAATTTACCATGAAACAAGGCGTAAGAGTGAGGGGATGCATGTAACTGTGCTGTATATCTGTAGTTATATACAATGATGTTTCTGGATGCGTTCATAACAGGCCTAGGATATGTTAAAAGATGGCATTTAATGTTACTCTTCCTTGCGCTCGACATTAAGGGGCAACACATGGACTGGTATTTCTTGTCTGAGTGGGGTAAACCTGGATATGGAGTTTAAGTAAGGCTGAACTGTGAAGCCAACCCAAGTTTCGACGATTAAAGCAGCCACACACACGTACATGCACTTTGATATTAAACTGTAATATAAACCTAAAACGTTAAATCCCATTTATCTCATCTCAACTCATATATTGTGATTGCTTGTTTAATGCACCACATTAAGCAATGTTCAAGTTATGTGACCTCGGTTTGTGTGTCTGGACCACACAATCCAGTGAGTGACATCATGAGCATCGATCTATGTGATTGGAATACGATGACATGCTCCAACCAAGTCAGCGAGCGAAACCACCCGACCCCGTTAGTCGCTCTTACGACACGTCTGATATATATAAAAACGTAATATGTAACAATTGGTTAATTTTCTGACATTTTTTAAATCTTTCCATTACAAGAATTTCGGAATATGTTATGTCATCAGCAGTGTATACTCTGTGGACAAACATAGAACTAACAGGCACTAAGACACATTAATTCTTACAAAAATGTGAGAAATACAAATCTTACGCGTTTTTGACGTTTTCGAAAACAATCTAATTTTACTACAGGATCTCCCTGTATACTGTGCGCATGTTTGCACTTAAGAGAAGAACCGTATAAACGTGTCTTAAGTCTTACTGGAAGGGGTCGGTGGGGTAGCGAAGTGTCACAGCGTCCGCTCATGACTCCGAAGGGTCGGGTTCGATTCTCCACAATGTGTGAAGACAATTCCTGGTGTCCCCGCCGTGATATTGCTGGATTATTTTCTAAAAACAGGCGCAAAAGTTAACTCAGTCAAGTTTTGGGGAAGGACACGTTTAGAAAGATAATTAAACTGTGGTATCCTGCAGAGTGAGGTCGTCATTGAGTGAGTGAGTGAGTGAGTGAGTGAGTGAGTATGGTTTTACGCCGCTTTTAGCAATATTCCAGCAATATCACGGCGGGGGACACCAGAAATGGGCTTCACACATTGCACCCATGTGGGGAATCGAACCCGGGTCTTCAGCATGTCGAGCGGACGCTTTAACCATTAGCCTACCCCTCCGCCCCGGGTCGTCATTGATAAAAAATAAATATGATATTAAGGAAGTAGTTCTTAAATGTAGATCAGTTCTTCATTGGCCGCAAGTTCAAATATGTTTCATTTACGAAGACTTTGTCTCTTGGTGCAGGGATAGGAGAGGCGTATGCTTCAGTCGATACAGTCAGTTCATACAAAAGGTATGAACGTGAATCACGTGAGATAGTCTTGGTCCGAATAATTAAAATAATCGAAGATTGGCCGCATGACTAAACGACTAAGCAATCGATAATCGAACACAAACAGTTTTTGATCACTTGTTTGCATGAACAATATTTTCCACAAGGTTGTTTTTTTCTGTTACATTTCATAAGCACTACAAGCTCGTTCCTTGTCATGATTGAATTCATCTTGAAGACTCCAAGAAATTTATGTTCCTAACATACTAGTCATTCTTTAAAGATGTGAAATTTTGTGCATATTGTGCAGTTTGCAAAAACCTCGAAAGATCAACATGATGTTTCTTTATTTTTGTGCATTAACAAACATAACCAGGATTATTTGATAAATGACGCTAACCAATATCTGCAATAAATCAATCATGAATTATGAGATTTTAACCAATTCCCCACACTAATGTGAGGTGATCGGATACACCTACGCACACGTTCTTGATATTGTAACATAAGACCATGATAAAATCGAAACGTCAACCATACGCCCATCGAATGGAAATGTATGTCTTAAATCTCGTTGGATATATCTGATAATTAAGATAATTCGTGAGTGAGTACGGATATTGATAAGCGAATGAGTGGGTACGTTTTGTTTCACGCCGCTTTTGAAGAGTATTGAACTTGTATTCAGACGTGTCAGCTTAAATGTGGGAAGATTGACTGATTGACTGAGTTAAGTTTTACGCCGCTTTTAGCAATATTCCAGCAATATCACGGCGAGGGACACCAGAAATGGGCTTCACACATTGTGCCCATGAGGGGAATCGAACCCGGGTCTTCGGCGTGACGAGCCAACGCTTTAACCACTAGGCTACCCCACCGCCCCAAATGTGGGAAGAAGCCACGGGTAATGCAGGAGTCTAACGTCTATTAGTTTGGTAAAATATACGAGCTCAGTTTGTGAACGGGATGCGAACCCACAATGATAGGTTTGTACCGTTGTAAGGCGCCTTTATTCGTTTGCACACTGCCTCTCATGTGAACGACATAAATCTATGATTGCAGGTTCGAATCCCGTTTCGCATCTATTACCTGTTTAGGTTTGTGAGCGCCATAACTTTTCTCGCACGGTTTCACCAAACTTGTAAACACAACCTAAAAATCACCGGACTTCGTGTGTATGCTCCAACAATTGTACACGAAGGATCACTCCTGCTTGACACGGAATTCAAAGTTACAGCCACTGATGTCAAAGATATGTCTTTTCAAAATGAACTTGTGAAGATCCGGGTTAGAATTGGTCTTCAGTAACCCATGCTTGCAAGACGCGACTAGCGGGATCGGGTGATCAGGCTCGCTAATATCCTGCACTAGGACAGACATTGTAGTTTACTCCTAATGCAATATATTAACCATCCCAAAACACACGAGTGTGATAACATATTTATCATACAAAGTAATTCTTACTTTATAATTTAAAAAGAAATGCGATTTCAATTGCCACAAACCATGAAACTAAACTTCGTGGAATGTACACAGATATCTATGACATCCCAGATAGGCACGTAGTAATACGTTACGTCACAAGCTCGGTGACACGATTTTCTTCTGATCACTCAGTTGACTGCGTTAGGTCATCTAGTTATTACTTTATGTTAAAACAC